TATGACTTTGAATAATTTTGAATAACATTCTCTCAAATAAACTTTAGTATATTATTTTATAATAAGTTGTTAAATAGCTAGAGCGTATTGATAATATTAAGTTGTTGACAATTTTAACGAGGTTGTATGCATCAGCATACGTGAAAGCATTGTCTCAACTTATATATTCAGTATTTACCTTTATTTAAAAATATACTATTTTTAGAGTTTGTTACTTTTTCTTATTTAAAATGTACACATTTTTGAGTTTGTAACTTTTTCTTTTGTGGAAATAATTATGAGGATATTACATAACTATATATGGTAGCCTTGCAACTTGGCAAATATTCTTTTTCTCTTATCTTCTGTTATCTCTACTCTAATTTGATTGTCTAAGTCATTATCGAATAATAATTAAAAGTTGTTATTTATTCTATTGATCTAAAGATATGAATGTTTTTATTTTTTAAAAAAATCTATTTCTTTTTATGGTCATCAATGATTTTTTTTGTATGAACATAAAATTACATATGTACTATTCGAATATTTAAGATATATCAAGAAACTTATTTTGATAATCACCATTACAAATACCCAACAAAAACTCATGAACATTATAAAAATAAGTGGTTACTTTCAAGATATAACACACGTTCTAAACATATAATTCATTTTTATATATTTTCATACCATTGTTAAGATATAATTGCATGACATTTTCAAATAAAAATACATTTTAAATTTAAATTGATGATTTGTCAAATTATCACGTTGCTAAAAAGTATTGTCATACAAGACTAAGAAACTGAACAAAAACTATATATAAAGAATGACCCAAAATAGGTGATAAAATTGTATAATTTGAATTTTTAAATATGAATAAATTTCAGAAAGAAAAAAAAAACTATTTTGTATATCAATTTGTCAATTTACTACGTTATTATATAATTGTATTTAATTTAAATTGGATGATAATGTTTTTCAAAATTAATACATATAAATCATGGAGTTAATTACAATGAATGAGATGGTAAAATGCTTTTATCAAATATCTCCAATATACATTTTTATTTTTAAGAAAATGTAACTGAATGAAGTGATAAACACAAATATCCACGTGTATAAGTGAGAAACTATTTTACTGTCAGTTTAAAACTGTTCTTCCTAAATAATTTTCTTGCTTTAATTCCCATCAATATCCATCATTTTTATTTTTCCCCATATTTTTCAAGACAATACTTGAAATTATGCTCTACGGATAAGATCACTTAATTAAAATTTTAACACATATTTAACCGAAAAAATGTAATTTAAATACACATATAATTAATGTAAATAATTAAAATTAAAATTTAATACCTCACATGTTGAATATATTTTTACAAGTAGTCAAATCATTATTTAGGTTATACATAAGACACTAAATATAAATAAATAAATAAATAAATTATAGTTAAAAAACATATACACGAGGATAATAGAGATTGTGCGAGCATACTTATGATTATGTTATTTCAAAAAATAAATATAGTAAATAACTAAATACTATTATTGTCAACAAACTAGATAATGAAATAATTCTAAATAATAGAATAGCAGTACAATCATAAATTAAATTTCACGCCTACAAAATACATATACTACTTATCAGTATTATGAAAAGAAAATTAAAAATATTAAATCAAGTGGCACGCTAATAACAATTCACATAGCAATGTATATTAATACCATCTAAAAGCAATACAAATGATGAAACAATAATTTTCAACTTTATGAATTCTAAGTTTTAGGATAACACGCAAGATAATAATATAAAAAAAATTCAAAAAATGTAAAAAAAAAAATTCTCTTATTAAAAAAAAAACATTTCATGTGAAAGGTTGAAATTTGATACTTTATAATGTAGAAAAAAATAAATAGCTTTATTAATAATTCAATATATATATATATATATATATATATATATATATATATATATAAAAACTAAAAACATAGTAGTTGATTATATCTATTAGAATAATATTATAACAAAATAAAGTTGTGTACTAAAATAAGTTAATCTGATCTTATAATTAGTAATAGTGTATTATTATAAGCCTTTTTTTTAAAAAAAGAATTGCAAGTGAATAATAAATTTTATAAATTGTTTTATTTTAAAAATTATGACATTTAAAATATTCGCGCGTTGCGCGGGAATGAATACTAGTTATAAGTAAATACAAATTTGCAAAGAATTTTAAAAACTACATAAATCTCACTACTTTACATCCTAATTACTACAAATCATTAGTTTTCAATATTACTACCTATACCATTTTTCGTTAATAAGATACATGGATAATAAACCTTAAGATACATGACTCTATTAGAATTTAAAAGATACATGTTTTAAAGGATTGGATACATATTTTTAATTAATTTGAATTAACTGTTTTAGTTTAATTCCTTAATTAAAGGAGTAAGTTATGGGAGATATAACAACCACAATGTAATTATGGCTCCATCTCATCATCAACGACTGATATCATCAAATTATTTTCTGAACTTATCTTCTTCATCAAACTATCGTCCTTTTGAATCACCAAATTTTCTAAATTTCTTTTGATCATGGTGAATATCACAATATTATTGAGTCATTCCAATTCACGGGTATCTCAAATCGAATATGAAAATCGAGATACATATTTCATTTGTTTAAATTAATTAGTTGTAATTTATTTCCTTAATTAGAGGATTAATTGAGATACATGTATCATTACTCGCGAGATACATGTTTTCATCGATTTTAAAAGTCGAAATACATGATTTATAACTTTGAATTAAAGAGGTATAACTTATTTCCTTAATTAAAGGATGAATGGATGAATGATTAACAATCAAAACTGATTTACATGATCCTTGATTATCAACTTTAACAAGTTTTCCTAAAATAATGAAATCATAAATCATAGTAATTTTGTAATTGTAAACTTCTTCTCCTTCATTAATTCCTTCTTTTGTACCTTAAATTTTCGAATATTTCGGCCTTGAGATACATGTATCCATTGATTTTAAAAGTCGAGATACACGATTCATTATTTTGAATTAAAGGGGTGTAATTTATTTCATTAATTGATGAATAATTAACAAACCAAACAGATTTACAAGATACTTGTGTATCAACTCTAACAAGTGTTCCTAAAATAACGAAATCATAAATCACAGTAATTCTGTAATTGTAAACTTCATCTTCTTCATCAATTCCTTCCATGTATCTTAAATTTCCGGCTTGAATGTTGGCGGATGAAGACCCTACAATGACAAAAAACCTAATTTGTAAAAGTTTATGCAATCAAATTTTACACCAATATGAACTCTGTCTCAAATGCATGAACGGAATGTAAATCAATATACATGAGAATAATTAAAAATAATAATAATTTACCACATTGATACAATAATTGTGTTGAAAAAACCTTGAACTTCTTCTGGATAATATTAGTCATCTGAAAGAAGCAAGTTAATGACTAATTTATAGAAAAGATGTACGGACCATGACAATAATGAATATGAGTTTGTATATGATGTTGATTATCACGATTTGGTTAAGGAAGAGAGAGAGAGATGGGGTGGATGTGAAGTACGTGGGGTGGAGATGTACATTAGGGTAATGAGAAAATAATTTGTGTACCATTAATTAAGGAGTTTAAATTTTAAGATAATTATCCAATACCATATTTAAGGGATTTGTGTATCTAATTAAATTTTTTTAAACTAGAGGTAAAATAAGTATATATGGTGTAAAGTATGTCTAGTTAGGTAGTTTTTCCAAATTGAAATATCTCAACCAGCCTACCTATTGGACCAATAAACCAATGCAAGACCATAAATGGGCCAAATCCAAAAAGTAAAGGAATACTAATTTGTCCGGCCCATGTCACTAACTAAAAGTTTCCTCTTGGGCCAAATTTAGGTCCAATAAAATTTTTGAACTTTTGGGATAATTTACAAGAATGACTTCGGAAGTAGGTAGTCTTAAACTATTGACCCCAATTATTTCATAGACTAAACTTTAAGTTTAATACTATACTTTTAACTTTGAAAGTTTGTCCACGGACCAAAAGGGGTTAAAAGTTAACGACCACTCATTTTCTAAAGTCATTGGGTGTAGTTTCCTGAATTTTTTTTAGAGTGCAATATAATAGTGTATGCTACTTTGATCAAAATCAACTTTGAATTAACAAATGTTTAAAATCGCAAGTTCTAGATAATATTTTTGATATATGTCAAAAAGTTTTACGTTGTTTTTTAAAACTTTGTGCTTAATCTAATACTATGCAACGTATATGCAAGAGATAAAAGGAGTTGGAGCTTTCTTCTTTTCTCCCACAGAGTGGACACAACATCATATGTCAATTTCATTACATGTGAGATGTAGCAATTGCATTGACAGTGTGAACATCAACCCAAAAGGTCTTGGAAAGTTGCATTCAACGATATATTTTTCAAAAATAAAAAAACATAGACAATTCAAACGGTCTCTTTCAAATTCTGTTAGCAGCTAGCACAGTGATTATGAATTGATCGGCTAGCTAGATCACTTAATTAATTTATTTGATACATTAATTCTGATTAGCTTGTTCATATATTCTTAGACTTCTTTTATGTGATTAAGCAATATATATTTTATTACAAATTCCTTGTTTATTTTATTAAATCAACGTGATCTACTAGGATATACATCGTCTTAAGTACTTTCTTGGATTGTATTAAACCTATGTTGCTCAAATTCTTGAAAAATACTGTCCAATATACACTATATAGCAACGTCAATTAAAACACAATCATTTCTCCAGAAATTTTGTACGTGAAATTTATATTGAAACATGATCTATTCAGAATTTTAAACGTTGAAAAAAAAACTCTTTCATTCATTATTATCAAAATCATGAACACAAAGGATATATATATGTACGAATCGTACAATACGGTTGCGAAGTTATATATATAGTTCTGAGTGTCTATAGTATAGCCACTATATATAGGTTCATATATATTATTGTTATTATTATCTGTAAGATTTGAGAACAGCACCGCAGAAGCAACAAACAATAGCCTTCCATGATTTCCAGTAAAATGGAACGTAACAAAATCTGGTAGCGGTCCGCATATGAGCAACTTGAGCTCCGTGGCCGCAACGTGAACACGAACCGGCCACGGGCTTACTCTGCCTCATCATCTTCTTCTGATCCACCAAAAAGCAAAAACAAACCATATCGTATCGTATCGATCGATCAAATTAGAGAAGTAGAGAATTTAGCAACTTTTCCACCAAGAAACGTAATTGTTGTTTGAAATTTGAATGATCACAAAATAATTTCATATGTGGTATATATAGTAGTACATGTGTACAAAAGTTTATTTATGGAGGGTCCACGTAAACCGGCTTAGATATGGGCGTCAGCGTGGAAGGCAGGCTGAGTTATTAATTAGACAGGCGTTGTGATCAAGTCAATGTCCAAATTCAGTTTCCAACTTAATGGATCATTGCCACGTGTACGTGAAAATCTCGTGCCTTTACTTCTTCATATATTTAATGATCCTTTTAGACTGACTGTTAATTTAGGATAGAAGGTTGTACTTCTTTTTTGTTTCTCACCCAGTGTTCGATACCCATATTAGAGCCCGACTAAATTAGGATTCTCGCTGAAAAGTCTCACATAGGAGGTAAAGCGCTCCCTAACAAAGGCGACTCCATACCCAAGGGGACTCGAACCCGAAACCTCCATGTTAAGGATGAAGAAGTACGTACTTACCACTCCACCACAACCCTTGTTGGTAGAAGAAGGTTGTGTTACGATCTCAAGTAAATACTGCAGTACTTCTTTAAAAACATACTAAATAAGAACTTTTGATTTCTTATAAGTCTGGTCAGGTTATAAGTCAATATTACATAAATAATACACTCTATATATATATACCTTTAATTTTTACATTATTATGTTAAATTGACATGTTATTGCTATATTTTTATTGTTACCCTATTAGATTTGATATGAAAAATTACTTGTTGTAAGTTGAATATGATAGTATAGAAATTATATACGTTGACAAATTCTTTTTTTTTTTATACGGTTCATGTACTTGAACATGCAGGTATAGTTAAGGTGTGGGTAAGTGCCATGTGTCCATTTTACAGTTGGGATGCTTTTATTCTTGTGATTTAATGCAGGTCCTTTTTTTCTACTTAAAACTCCAATTGGACACCTCCAAGTTCAACTTATCTTTTACGTTCTACGTTATACAAATTAAAAAAGTGAGGTCCATCCCTAATAAAATATTTATATCATAAAATAATACATGTCGAACACAATACCGACAAGAGCATGCATAATGATTTTCCGAAAATTATTTAACAGTAATAATATTTATATTTATAACCAACAATTTATATAAATGTTACTAAAGATTTTAGGGAACAACACTACGTTTTAGTTCCAAACAAGTCAAACTAGTCGGGATTGAAGTTAGAATCCAGTTACACAAAATTGAGAAGGCCCAAAGTTTATGCTAGTTTTCTTATTGGGCCATTATGTTTAAGCCCCGTGTCTTTGTAAAGAACAGTTAGCCAGTGTATATGTAGATATTTTGTCTATTTTTCTATATTTTCTCTACATATAAATAGTCTGAATGGAATTTTTTTAGCAATTTCAACTTCATGTTTCCAAGTTGTAGAGAACAATCCGAACTAAGCCAATTTTTTCAGATTCATTTGCCTTATAACCTTGCTCCCCGTTGTAATAATTATTAATATATATTGTAGTAGAAAATAATAAATCAAAACGCGGGTACAAACAAACTTGAAGGAAGGAATTAGAATCAAATTTGGACGATCAACTTGCCCACCCCAACACTGACTCAACTAGGAGCGAGTTTGCATATTTAGTAAACAGAAAGAGAGAAACTTTCTTTTGGCTCGATTTATTATGATGAATCAAATAAAGGCACTAATAGAGTTTAAATGCTCTTCAAAAGAGAGTAAATATATAATATGGAATTAACATGTAAATGTGGTTAATTCCATTGTGCCCAAGCTATTATTACAAAAATTGACGAATATAACCAATTATCTTTAAGAATTTCATCTTTAGATAAAAAAAATTCAAGCTGAAAGTTGTGTGTTGTCAAAATATTGAGTTTAAATAGCTAGTAGGTAGAGAAAGATATAATTGATGTTTGTTTTTAAGTCTTATGTGAGCTTCGAGATTTTGATTTAGTGGTAAGAGCACAACAAGTGATATATGAGTTATACATATGTCACATATTCGATTCTTATTGTAAATAAAAGTCTAAATATCAAAAACAAGTCCATCATTTATCAAATTTTAAATCGCTCCCCACTAGAACTCGAGAAATTCTCTATTATATATATGGAAAAAAATATATTCTCTTTATGTATCATATAAGTTACCTAATTAATTACAGAGACTATAAAATTCATGAGCTTTGATTGTTTTTTCTGATTGCTTTTACCTCAATAAAACAAAAGGGTATTATATTGCATGTGCTGTCCCAATTTAATTGTTTAATAGAAACATCCACATGTGCTATGAGGTAATCCTGCCATGTAATTTTTGGTTCCACAACTGCAATTTTTGTCACACATTTAATTTTGTCTTTAATTTGGCTTCACATGCAATACAACTTTTCTTTTTATGATAGAAAAAAATCAAAGTGTATAGATATATTATATGAAAGTTACTTTAATTTGTCTAAGTTGTAACTCTCACATTTGTTGTCAAATAAATTAAGAGAATGTTAATATTTCTTTTGAAAAGAATCATCATTACGTACATTGTCTTCTCAATATGTTTAATGAAGGTTCGTTTGAGTGTGAAGAAAGTAAGACAAATGAAGTGTTACATATAAGACTCACGAAGGTACCATAACATTTGGAAATCAATGAGAAGCAGTTTCAGAATTTGAATTTTACAGGTTTAAAATATTACTGAATTCACTTACTGTTTGAATTATTGAATTTGAAAATTTAGTATTTATGGATATATATTAATTTTTTTTTACATATATATACAAAATTTGAGTAAAAAATATTAAGTTCAATTCGTAATTAATATTGTGCATCAGTCGACGGAATCACATGACTTTTTTTTAATTGTTATGCTTTTGTACTAAATGGATTACCGTATATCTCGGGACTTTATGTGTACTATGGTCTATGGGTGTAAAAAACTATAAATTATGAGACAAAATTATGTCATTTATGTAAAGAATTTTTATGATATGGATTGATTGATCACTTGGTAATTAAACTAGTAGTTAATCCACCTTTCATATAGATTTAAAATATATGTTTGGGTCGTTTGGATCCGTATATGGTAAAAGTGGTAGTCTGATTATCCTCACATCCGAGCAGTTTGTACTAATGTTTTAATGTCGCCTTATAATTAATTCTCAATCCTCTTCACCGAGATATCTTTAAAGAACTATATTTTTTTTTTCTATTCGGATGAAGTTTGAAATTCACCTATAAATTCTAAAGAATCAGAATTGGATATCTTATCATGTATAAACATATGATAAGAATGCTCATAGTATGAAAATTTTCTACACTATCAATATATATAACTTAAATCAGGTATTATGATGTTTGACATAAAGTACATACTATAAATGTATCATATTGAGGCAAACAAATAATAAATCTTGAAATTCAAAACTTGTTAGTACAAGGAAACCCTCCCTAGATACTAGGTTTTTTTAGAGGGTCTATCTAATATTGACTATATTGGATTTGAATAATGGATTTGGTCATCATATGGAGACCTTGCACATTCAATATCTGACCTAGCTACACATCATCAATTTTTGCCCATTTCTAAAGCATGAATGGACTTTGCTTAGATCCTAGAATATTTTAGATCACACATCTTTTTTTGCCTACCTATATTTATAATTTTAAAGATCACAATGTGTTAGCCTATTAATTCATTCTGAGGATTTAGCATGTTCCTTGTGTAGTATTTTGTTTGGAGGGCAAATATAGTTCTTCATATCGATAAAATATTAGACTATCGTAAAATCATGTATGTTTACTAATTTTAGATCATAATCTATTTTTAAAAATAATATTTCCAGTTTGTTTTATGATCTTTAGACCGTGATAAAAAAAGGTCCATAAGTTCCAAAAAAAATCATGGAAATTCACTATATATATGGCTAGGGACAACCAACAAAAAAATTATAAACTTTGTTTTGTCATAAAAATAATATATCGCATAATCTAAAAGATTGGTTTCATAAAAAATATTTATAATAATAAAATATTACTCATTACAGAGAATAACTATTATAAAAAGGTTTGACTGTATTAAATATATAACCTCCCAAATTTTGACACGTCTGTCATTGGACACAAGAAGACAAGAGAAAAATTAAAATGCTCATTAGGTTAGTTTCATCTTGTTCTTTGCACCTAAATAGGGAAAAAATGATATTGTAATTAATGTAATTAAATGATATAATATCATTTATGTTATCTTAATGGAACAACTGGATGCATAATATTTAATCTATTAGTATATAATTATTATCATTTCTTTAATTGATGAAAGATGTTTCATGGCATATTGCCGACCTTATTATTTAGTCATAGTTTTGGGCAATTAATTTTTTCTTCTGATATAAATATTTTTCTTATCACTCTAATTAATGACTTCTTACTGGCACTTCCATAAAAAGAAAAAGTAAATTTCGTATCATATTATAGGTGTTCTTTCTATTTTTTTGATTTTTCTTTAAAGGTATAAAAAAGAGGTTAATGTTATGAAGCGAAAGTCAGATTTGATTTAATACAAATTAATTGTATTTTAAAATTATTTTTAGACGAATATGAAATTGACAGTATGATGATGTGAGCCCCTATTTACTCGTACGTTCGTTTACAAGCCGATTTACTATCTTTACGCACAACTTATATATATGACAAATAAAAGCTTATGAGATTTGGTGGCCATGAAAACTTGAATGATGTGAATTATACATAATTAGTCTCCAAATAATATTATAAGGTGACGGGTTATGTAAAATTTAAATTAAGTCTTGTATAAGAATCAACTTTAAAGGCTGCGCACAGTATCATATATTAAAATATTTTTCCAAAAAAGGAAAATATATTTATTATATAATAATAAAATATAAAATTATACTAAACATATTATTATTATTTTAAATCATAATTGATGATGAGTAAACGTT